GGGGGGAGGGACGGAGTTTGTTGGGGGAGCCTGTCAAATGGACACGACGAGGCAGGTTGACGGGCTGGCGCAGGATTTCGCGCTGACTAAGCGTTCAACAACCGCCGGCTGTGGCAAGGATAAGAGCGTCCTGGACGAGGGTGCCCACGGGTCTGCTTTGTCAAAGGCAAACATGTCACCCTCCCTTGCCCATGACGCTGCATATGCCTTGCTACGGACCTGGCGGTCACGGCCAGGATACTCCCAGGTAACCTCAAAACCCCCAAACAACACGCGTGCGCGATCACACACAAAGAGAATCACCAGCGCGCACAAAAAGAATCACGTCGACCCCAACACGCAATGCTCCCACGCCCGTTTCCCCCCCGGCCCACAGGCAAAACTCGCGACCAGCAACAAGCCGCCCTGCCGACGCCAGTGCCCACTCGCGTGCCCACTCACCCGTGGTGTGCAGGTCGTCGCCCTGGCGCATAAACCGGGGATGGGGCGCCTCCTCCACCACAAACTGCAGGTCGGCCGGCGGCAGCCCTGGCCGCTCGTCGCCCTTGCCAGGAAAAGTAATCTTCGTGCCCTGAGTTTGCGGTGTCCAAGGAGTGTGTGTGCGTGCATGTGCGTGCGTGTGAGTGTGAGTATGTGTTGTAAAAGCAGGGGTTGGGGCACGGGAGGTGGGAGGTGTGAAGGTGGGAACGATGGGATAAGTCGGTGACTTGCCGCGAAGCAATCTGGCGATACAGGCGGCACTGGCGCCGACTGGCCCGATGTGGGGGCTCCACCCCGCCCGCGGCTGTGATGTCCACTTTCCGGATGAGCCAGCCGCTGGAGGGGCAGAAACCGCGCGGCGCGACCAGCCAGGACGCCGGCACCGCTGCTTGGTTGCCAGGGGCAAAGGGCGCCTTGCTCAACTGCCCTGTGTGCTGCGCCCACGCGGGCGGCCCAGGAAAAAATTCTGCATGCAATATGGCAACCACCAACCCCGCATCAACCAAATGTCCCCGCCAGGAGGCCCATCCCCTCGGCGACGCAAGCCGCCTTGCCACTCCAAACCATTTTGTGTCAAAACGATGGATCAAACACACGCACCTTCTTCCAGCCGGGCTTCACCCCGATCTCCACCACCTCTGACACGGGCAGGCTCTTGCCGCTCGCGTCGTCGTGCACGCTGCGCGTCAC